AAAAAAAAAGGGAGTCCAAAGCACTCGTTAGATTCTGGGAATGAAATCATCGATTGAAAAGGAGTGCAGCTCCCGTTCCGATGATCGACTCAACAGCTCTCTCTCTCTCTCTCTCTCTCTCTCTCTCTCTCTCTCTCTCTCTCTCTCTCTCTCTCTCTCTCTGTGTGTGTCTCTCTCTGTGTGTGTCTCTCTCTCTGTCTCTCTCTCTCATACATCGACATTGGAGCACGGAAACATGGCAGCGATTGGACTATAGAGGAGAGCACCGAGGAAAAATCTCTCTCCCTCTCTCTCTCTCTCTCTGTGCCATACAACGACTCTCACATGAACATCGGAGAAGGGAAAACATGGCCGCGATTGGACTATAGAGAAAGGCACCGAGGAAAGAAAAGGATAGCAAGGCCGAAGGAATAGAAATAGACAAGGGGGGGAGAAAGCTAGAAAGCGGAAGACAGCCCGTTTGTCTGAAGGCGTGGATCGAGTGTCAATGCGACAGAGAGAAATGTCACAAAGATAAAAGGGGGAGATCAGACAACGAGCGAGAAGCAATGGCGAGAAACAAAGGGGAAGAGAGACAGAGGTGGGAGAGAGAGAGAGAGAGGACGGGTCGTTTGTCCGTAGACGTGGATGAGGTGTGAATGCAACGTCGAGAGAAAAGGGCACGCATGGTGAGACGGTAAACGACAAAAAGGCAACTGGAAAGAGAGAGAAACGCACAGACGAAGGCAGAGAGCGACAAAGGGAGACCAAACACCCTCGCCCCCTTGTAGAAGAGGAAAATCGGAAGACAGCGAGAAAGGGGAGAGAGAGAGAGAGAGCTTGGGGGAAGGAGGAGGGGAACATATGTTTTTTTTTAAGACAAAAAGAAGAGAGGGACAGAACGGAAGAAGGAGAGATGTAAGAGAGAGAGAGAGAGAGTGAGAGAGAGAGAGAGAGACGCGAGAGGAAGAATGGGAGAGCAGAATTGAGAGACAAAACAGAGGCACGAATAATACACGAATGAAAAGGGATTATTACGCTAACACCGTCTTGAGGGGAAACGACAAATGATAATTTAACCTTGTTCAGCGATCTGAAGACAGGGTGATTAAAATAATTCACCCCGCGTCCTACTCCCAAATCTTCGTTTTCCGCGACCACCCTCCGCACGCTCACGCGGGTATTTAGAAAATGTCGAAAAAAATCAAAAAATCAAAAATCAAAAAAAAAAAAGCAGAAACGAATTGAAATCTCACACAGACGGGTTTCTTCATTGCAAAAAATAAAACGACCAAAAAAAGGCAAAAACAATAACAAAAAAGAGATCGAGCACGGAAACCATGCAAGAGTCGGAAATACAGACCGCAGAGATACATAGAGAGATGACACAACAGCTAAATGACTACATTATACCCCACGTTCTCTGCGGGGTGTTTCGTGTATGTAGTCATTATACCCCACAGTGAACGTGGGGTATAATGCAGCTAAATGACTACATACATATACAAATAGAGATGAATGACAAGAGCTCGACGAGAATGGAAGAGAGCGAGACATTACATTGAGCACAGTGCCAGGGCACGAGACATGGAAAACAGGGAGAGAAATGGAAAAGAGAGCGAGAATGTGAAAGCGGAATAAGAGGGAGAGAGAGAGAGACAGCGAGAGAGAGAGAGAAGATAACAACGCAAGGACATGCAGATCAGACACGAAACCCTTCAGAGTGAGACAGAGCGCCGCACTATGGAAAGATAGAGACCCTTACTCCGTTAAGAAGGAGAATAGGAAAACGGCGACAAACGGAAACACGACAGACGGAGACAGAAGCAGATGCAGATAAACAGAGACAGACGGAGGCGCAGGCAAACGGACGCAGACGAAGACGCAGATAAACGAAGGCAAACGGAGGCAGATGAAGCAAGACGAAGACAAACGGAATCAGACGGGAACAGGGACAGATAACGGGCGTAATGGAACGCGTAGAATAGGGAACCTTAAGAGAAGAAGGGCTATGACCGTGACAGAGCGGTAAGGACCCGAAGGGCAGAGGGAAGCAAAGTATATTACAGAGAAGTAAAGAGAGAGTTTGAGAGCGACAGAGAGAGAGAGAGAGAGCTGAAGAGATTCGCGAGGAGAAGGGCTATAACCATGGTCAAACGATAAGGACCCGAAGGGCAGAGGGAAGCAAAGGATACCATCAAAAAGTAAAGAGAGAGAAAGAGAGGACGAGAGAGAGAATGAGAGAAGAGAGAGAGAGAGAGTGAAAGAGAGGGAGTGAGTGACCGAGAGAGAAAGAGAGAATGAGAGAGAGAGAGAGAGTGAGAGAGTGAGAGAGAGAGAGAGTGAGAGAGACAGAGAATAGAACCCCACGAGATTAGCGAGAAAGTGAAAGCAGATGGTGAAATAGTAGCCGTCGATGAGAGAAGAAGGAAAAAAAAAAGTCGAGCTGTGTGAATAAGGAAAAAAAGTCCAACTGTGTCAATGAAGCGAGAGGGCGACAGATGTAGGGGTAAATATGATACAGGCCAAGAGAGGAGGAGTGAAAAGGAGAGAGAATAGAGGTTCTCAGAGTTTGTGAGATAAAGACGAAGAGAATAATGAGAGTGCGTGACAGATGCTGGTATCACGGTCAAGAGCGAGGGACAATCAGAAAGACGCTATGCGACAGGGAATATGAAGGTAAGAGATTCGAAAACGAAAAAGGGGGGAAAAAAAAAAGGAAGAGAGAGAAATCCTGCGGTTGAAAACGTTGTAATCGTGAAGTAGAACGCCACAGATTCAAATCTGACAACGTACAGGATACGAGGCGAAAGAGGTGAGCGGTAAGAGAGAGAGAGAGAGAGAGCGGTGAAAAGAGGGAGTATAATCGAAAGATTGCCGCACGAGGACAAGTTATGATGAGACTTGAAAGGACTGAGTGCGAATGCGACCCGCACTACATAGTTTGTTCGGCTTCAAAAGAGTATGAGGCGTGTTTTTAAAGTCCCTCCGCACTCAAGACTGGCCTTAAGAATGTGAGAAAACGTGAGAAAATGTGAGAATATAGAAAATTTGAGGAGAAAACGTGAGTAAATGTGAGAATATAGAAAATTTGAAGAGAAAACGTGAGAAAATGTAAGAATATAGAAAATTTGAAGAGAAAATGTGAGAATATAGAAAATTTGAGAAATGTGGGAAATGTGAGAAATGTGAGAGAACTTTGAGAAATGTGAGAAAATGTGAGAAATGTGAGAGAACTTACATAATGTGAGAAAATGTGAGAGAATTTGAGAAAATGTGTGCGATAAAATATGAGAAATTATGTGAGAGAACATGTGAGAAAAATGTGAAAATACTTTAGCAAAAGTGAGAGCGGATGTGGAGAATGTGTAAGAGGATGTAAGAGAGGATGTGAGAGAGGATGTGAGAGAGGGTGTGAGAGAGGGTGTGACAGGGTGTGAGAGAGGGTGTGAGAGAGGGTGTGAGAGGGTGTGAGAGAGGGTGTGAGAGAGGGTGTGAGAGAGGGTGTGAGAGACAGGATATTAGATAGGATGTGAGAGGATGTGAGAGAGAGGATGTGAGAGAGAGATGTGAGAGAGAGGATGTGAGAAAGAGGATGTGAGAGAGAGGACGTGAGAGAGGCAGGTGAGAAAATGCCTGTGAGAGAGAAAACGTGATAGCGAGAATCTTACGGAGAGCGACAACGTAGGAATCAGGAGAGGAGGGAAAAAGAGAGGGAGCGCACCAGGGGTTCTGACAGGGCATGTACGCAAGATCAAGAGCTTATAAAATTGAGTATAGAGTAGAGTAGGAGAGAAAGAGAGTAGTACTGTGGTAGAGGATTAACAGCGAGAGCTTGTGTGAGAGAGGGTACGAGGAAAGAAGGGAGACAGGCTAAACGCGGTAGAGAGGAATACAGAGGAGGGTTCGTAAGAGAGAGAGAGCGTGCCAGACAATGGACAATGTGCATACAAAGAGCAGCGACGGCGGAAACAGCGCGAGCAACTCCCGCAGATAGAAAGATCCAAGATAAAGATTGAAAGAGCGAAGAACTGCTCCCGCAGCGCTTCGCTCTTTCTCTCTTTAACATTTTGACTTCCATCAGGCTGGGATTCGGGTCAGGTACATCCAAAAAGAAATGAGAGCGAAGTGCTAGTGTCAGTATGCCCTAGAAGATTCGCGAAAAGAAATGAGAGCGAGCACAAAATGGAAGGTGAGAGAGACCACGAGGTCGGGAGACCGCCTTCAGGGGATGAAATTGGGAGAGAGGGAGCAGCGAAAACGGGAAGGGGGAGGGAGGGGGGGGGGAGGAGAAGCGAGGAAGAACCGGGAAATGCAGAAGAGAAGAGAAAGGAGGTAGGTAAAGGAGGCGCAGAAGAAGACGGGGCGCAGAAGAAGGCAATCTTCCGTACGGGGGAAGAAGAGAAACAAGAAGAAAGCTGAGTGACGAATTGGGGAAAGCAGAAACGTGAGGAAAGGAATAGTGGGAGTAGAATGGCAGGAAGTGAAAGGGGATAGCCAAGTGAATTCAATGAGAGGGGGAGGCAGAGTGGAGGGGATAGGACAAGGGCGGTGAGGAGAATGGATGGAGGAGAAACGGAACGGGAGAAAAAAAGGGGAGCCGGGAGGGAGGAAAAAAAATAGGGAGGAGAAGAGTGAAGAATAGCATGGCGTTAGCAGAGGTCGGTAAAAGGAGATAGAGAGGTACGTAAATCGGACTAGGATCGGAATAGCTACGGAACTAGGGTTATAAAGAGCTGTTTCCGACAGGTCGAACTGGTCGGCTGGGATTGATCATCAGGCTCGTATAGTTGCAACATTTGCGATCTCTCTCTCTCTCTCTCTCTCTCTCTCTCTCTCTCTCTCTCTCTCTCTCTCTCTCTCTCTCTCTCTNTCTCTCTCTCTCTCTCTCTCTCTCTCTCTCTCTCTCTCTCTCTCTCTCTGTCTCTGTGTGTCTGTGTGTGTGTGTGTGTGCGTGTGTGTGTGTGTGTGTGTGTGTGAGAGAGAGAGAGAGAGAGAGACAGGTTACGGTTCTTACTTACCCGACTCTGACTCCCAAGGCTAATGCAGCTCTCTGCTTCGGCTTCGAATTCTTCCGAACGTAATATACCAGGCCGTTAGATAGCCTACCGTACTGCAACCCAGGTGGTCCAAGAGGAATGGGCGCTGAACGCGATTCCACCGTCTCCAGATTCAGCGGTTTTAGATTCAAGAAGCCCTCATTCGACCCCATCGCTCCCTCTCCTTGTCTTGCCGTCTTCCTCTTTCTCCCCGCCTTCTCCTCTCAAGCACGGTAGCTATGGCCTCCAATTCAACCCCACATGTCCCAACTCTCTCTCTCTCTCTCTATCAGAGACAGAAGTCCACACCCGCCAGGTCGGGCTTGGGCGGCCAACTTCGCCTCGCGTCGTTACCGTCCGATTCGATCGGATCAGATTCGATTCAATTCCAGGCCAGCCAATCACGGACCCCAACACGAGGGCGCGCTGTTAGCAAGAGACCCCCGCCGCTTTCCACCTCCTTTCCCTGGCTCGACCCGAGGGGCAGGCCGGCGGGCGGGCGGGCGGGCGGGCGAAATCGCTGTCCTTCTTCAATTACCCAACCACTCAACGCTCTCCCGCCCCCGGACGGAAAAACGCACCAAACCTATTACTTTTCTTCGCTGCCTAAATGTAACCCAGCAGTCCCCTGCAGTCGCTTCTCCAGCCAGATTGTGCGTCGCAGACACTCAAACGTCAGATAGCGTCGTAGCTTACCATCCAACGGTTATGCGCCGCCGCACGCAGAGTCGGAAGAGGCTCCGAAAGTGCCGACTGGCCGCTTGGCCAGTCTTAAGTCTGTAGACTCTGTACTAACGGCTCACTGGTACACCCGTCTGCTGTTGAAACACAGACCCCAGATTCTGGCAAGTCTAAAGTCTGTACTAACGACTGGTACACCCGTCTGCTGTTGAAACACAGACCCCAGATGACCAGAATCATTCTGAATTTCCTGGGGGCGATCAGTTCAATGATGATATCGCAAGACCGTGGCCCTTTCTAAAATGGAACACAGAGATGAATACTCAAAAAACAACGTAGTAGAGGCTTTGATCAATATAGTCAAGGGTTTGATCTCACAGAGTAACCACATTGTATAATGTGTGATGGGAATACCCCACGCAACAGACGACCTACCTCACGCTGCTCAGTCTACTTCGAAGCCTAGCTTCATACCCTCAAGTAGACTCCGATAGGGTTTGGCCATTTGTTTTGTTTTTTTCTGTGGGTTTTTTTCTCGTGTGATGTTGTTGTTGTTGTCGTGTGGGTTTTTTTCTCGTGCGATGTTGTTGTTATTAGAAGAGAAGAGGAGGAGGTAGAGAAATTATCGCTGAAGCAGAGAAGAAAACAAACATCGACGACGAATCCATTTTTTCTCTCTGTATAATAACATGTAAATAGAAATAACAGATAATATTTTCATATTATAACTAGATATGCAATTTTCTTTATCCTTCTTTTGAATGTGAGAATTGTATAGGATTTGAAACTTACCAAATTTTGTCTTTTGCTCCTTCGTAACAGTCAATACAGTCCAAATGTAGAATCAGAAAATTTATGATTGTCGATTCGATCACTCCCGCCGCTTCTCTCTTCTCCTTTCTCTTTTCTCTCTTCTTCGTTTTCTATTCTCTCTTTGCTTCGCGCTATGATTTCTCTCCCCTTCTTCGTCCTTTCAAGCACAACTCCCAATCACCTTCAAATAACACGGCCCTCGAAAGTCTCCTTTTCGCCTTTCTTTTCTCTTTTCTTTCTTTCACCTTCTTCTCTCTCCGTTTTTTGTCTCCTTCTTGTCTCTCACTTCACGCTGCTACTTCTTGCCTCTGGCGATCTCTACTTGCTTCCCAATACTCTCTTTTTTCTTTTCTTTTTTTTCTCGCTCGTTTTTTTGCTCCTTTTTGCTTTCTGCTTTTCGACGCTCGGGCTCTTGCACGCTTATATCACACTCGTATGCACACTCGCATGCACGCTTGTATGCACACTTGTATATACCCTTGTATGCACGATGAACACAGACAGAGATTTGTCCTCGCACAGGTTTTCTTGCTCACATATCTTCGCACAGGTTTTCTTGCTCGCATACTAACCTTTTATAGTATGTATGATGAGTATTAAATCACACATGATATAAGAAAATAGAATAATAATTAATAAAATTTTTCAAAAAGAAATAATTAATATTTTTTTTTTTAAATAAGGTTAGAAAAAAAAGGGATAACGAGCAAAAAGCACGACGATTATCGACATATGATCAAAGACGTAGATGTATAGAGGAAAGAATGAAGACCCGACAAGACAGGGGGGCAATATTTAAGATGGGAAGAGGGAAAAAAAGTAAGGAAAACAAACCCACGCAGTGTCTGACAATAAAGGGGTGCATCCATGTTGCCCCTTGTCGTAATTGATAGTGGTCAGCGAGAAAGGTCCAGTTAGAAGTGCAAAATACAGAGGGGGGCATGCATGTTGCCCCTTATCGTAATCGATCATGCTCAGCAAGAAAGGCTCACTTAGAACTGCAGAATACAGAAAACCAAAGGGTCGCATAATACAAAAAAATACAAAAAAAAAAAAGAATATGAAGCATTTTTTTGTCAGTAGTACAGAAAACCAAGGGGTCGCATAATACAAAAAAATACAAAAAAAAAAAAAGAATATGAAGCATTTTTTTGCCAGTAGTTTTGCCTGCCATCTATTTTCCTTGTCCGATCGTCAAGTGACCATTTGTTTCTCTTATCCCGTGCACTTGATTTGACAATTTTTCTCTTCTCTATTTCCCTCGTCCCATGGAGACAATGACAGCAATGTCTATGATGTGCTCTGATATCGATATACCGAATCCCGAAACAGAAAAACGGAGAGAAAAAAAATTATCTCTTCTCTATTTCCCTCGTCCCGTGGAGTGACAATGACAGCAATGTCTACAATGTGTTTTGATATCGATACAGAGAATCCCGAAACAAAAAAACAAAAAAATAAATAAATAAAATCAACTTCCGTCGCCTTAGTGTCTATCAAAAATTCACAGTACTATATATCACGATACAATACAAATCACAAGCCTATGCGTACAACGACAACTTCGTTAAAAAAATAAATAAATAAATAAAATTATAGGCTACCATAGTGGCTCGGGGTCACTTGCCCGGTCGGGCCAAAAAAATAAAGATAAAAAATATATTTTTAAAGTTTAATTTTTACTTTCAATTTGGTGAAGAAGTTGCATGTGACCTTGACGCAAAAGTTGTTCAGTTTGTTTTTTTGCATAACACAGTTTTTTTTTTTTTTTTTTTTTTTTTTTTCCCTTCTGGGACCTTCCTTGGTCCTCACAGGGCTTGCTACCCGGGACCTGGGCGGCCCGGCTGGTACGCTAGATTAAAAAAAATAATTAAAAAAAAAAAAACAAACAAACGATGAAAATCATCCAAAAGCCCCATGGAAACCCCCCTCTTCGATACAAAATAAATAACAAATGTTAAAAANTTAAAAAAAAAAAAAAAAAAAAAAAAAAGGTCAATCTCATCGAAAAACCCCATCGAAAAGTTTGTCTTCGATACAAAATAAATCTACTCCCGAAAACGAGGAGAAAAATGCCTATGCCTATATGCCCATATCGAACGAAACGATCGTCATGAAAAAACCTACTCAAATACCTAAAAGCCTCGACCCTCTATAGTATTTATAATAAAATAAATAAATAATAATATTATTATTATAAAATAAATAAATAATAATATCTATATAGATAACCTATATATAATATATAATAATATATAATAAAATAATAATAAATATTAACCTATACCTATAAATAATAAACCTATACATATATGCCTACCTATTTATGCCTATATCGTACTCGATCGAATGAACGATTGAGAAGAAAGAGCCTACTAGAATCGAGTACTCTCTCTACTCCCTCGACTCGACCCTTCACAGTATCGTACGTACGTACGCTGCCCTTTCCTTTCGACAATCGCCAATTAGGGGTCTCTATACTATATTAGAAAAATAAATAAAATATAATATATATATTGTAAAAAAAAAAAAAAAAAACGAACGATCGAGAATAAAAAGCCTATTCGAATTCGAGTACTCCCTCGACCCTCCACAGTATTCCATCGACGAAAAACCCCACCCATAGAAAAGCCCGTCTTCGACAGTAACAGTGACATGACACCAGCATACAAGGCCCCCCCCCAAAAAAGCGGAACGATCGAGAAGAAAAAACCTATTCGAATACTAAAAAAAAAAAAAAAAACGGAACGGTCGAGAAGAAAGAGCCTATTCGAATACTCCCTCGACCATCCACAGTATTCCCATCGACAAATCGACTAGCATTCAAGTGACACTGCCCCTTTCTTTCTCGAGACTGGTACCAAAAACAGGACCCTTCGTTTCGAGACTGGTATCGCCAGGCCCGATTCCTGACACCGAATCCCCCCGAATTACACATTTATTATTATTATTTAATAAACTTCGCTAAAAAAAAAAAAAAAAAACCAAAAAAAAAATCCAAATAGCCAATACCCTACTTGCTATAGCCTATAGCCTATTAGCCTATAGCGCCCTCTCCTCTTTTCCTTCAAACAAAAAAACAAAAAAACACTTCTTCCACCCTCCATTCATTCAAACAAAATAGCCAGTAGCCTTAGCCTATTTTAACCTATAGTCTATTTCGATCCCTCGTGTAACAACAACTTTGGCCAAAAAAAGAAAAAAAATTCGAACGCCAAAAGCTCCCTCGATTCGACGACTCTCTGTATACCCCTCCCCTTCAAACAAGTTCCACACTCTTTCGACTCTAAGTTCCACACTCTCTCGACTCTCTGTATACCCTTCCCCTTCGAACAAACCTCCATATATCCCTTCGCAAACGCTTGCTCTACGAAATAGCCCTCTTCTCTTTTTCTTGAAAAAAACAAAAAAAAACCATAAGCCTGCACACAAAACTCTACCCTATATGTATGAGTTAACGTCACCACACCGCTCCCGAAATGTGCAAAATGAGAACGAACTTCTATCTATAACATGGCCAGATGCAGCGGCAAATCGCAAGATGGCGGTTCGTTTTTTTTTTTTTTTTTTTTTTTTTTTTTTTTGAAGTCGGTTTTTTGGGCTTTCCCGTTCCTTTTTTTTTTTTTTTTTTTTTTTTTTTTTTTAAGATGGTGGATCGGTTTTTGAGCTTGCCCGGTGCTCTCGACCCTCCGTTGTATGCCTTCGGAAAAGCTGTTTGAAACAAAAAAACCTTTCCACACTCCCTCGACTCTCTCTATACCCCTCCCCTTCGAACAAGAACGAACTTCTATCTATAACATGGCCAGATGCAGCGGCAAATCGCAAGATGGCGGTTAATTTTTTTTATTTTTTAT